TGCATTGTACTTAGTGTGGGGTGGGAGAGAGGTACTCGATGCCCTTTCCTTGCTTCCTGTTCATGAGATGTGAACTTATGTTCTTGCTAAGCAGAGCCAACAAAACACCTTCCAGCCCGTTGGCACTCTGGGGCTCCCTCCCCTCCACCTGCTGCACCCCCCCAACGAGGCCGCCTTCATTTCCTGAGTCTGAGACCTGCAGGAAGTAGGGGGCCTGGTATGAATTTGAGCAGGGCCTAGCAAGGTCTGGGCCCCTTCTGCTCCTTCCCTCACCCCCAAGCACTGGTCAGGCTGCTATGCCAGACTGTCCTTCTCAGAGAGAGTGAGGCTGGCATGTGTGGGCAGGAGAGGCTGCATGCTTGGTTTGTGGAAAAGAGAAATGTGTGTAAACCCGGGCTCTCCAGCGGGTGGTCAGCTCAGCCCCACAGAGTGCCTGAGGGCACAGCTTCATATAGGACTGTGTGGTGTAGGTCCCCCAAAACTTCTCTTAGTTCTTTTATTAAAAAATTAATTTAGGGGCTGGAGCAAGAGCACAGTGGGTAGGGTGTTTGCTTTGCATGCGGCCGACAATTCCCAGAATCCCATATGGTCCCCTGAGCACCGCCAGGGGTAATTCCTGAGTGCAGAGCCAGGAGTGCCTCTGTGCATCGCTGGGTGTGACCCATAAAGAAAAAAATTTGTTTTGGGGGGGTGTTTGGGCCACACCTGATGGTGCTCAGAGCTTACTGCTGGCTCTGTGCTCAGGAATCAGGAGATGTTCAGGATCAAACTAGGTTTAGCTGAGTGCAAGACAAGTGCCTGTTATCTTGCTGGCCCCTTGTCACTGCATTCTAAGCAAGGTCCCAGCCCAGAGCCTGCGGGATCCCCTATCACAGTTGCCCTGGGCTTTGGCCAGCCCTGTACCCGGACTTGGCCCTTTAGTGCAGCATTGAATTTCTGCACCCAGGGAGCAGGGTTTGGGGCTCAAGACACCCTGTGGGGGACACCTGGGAGGTGGTGATTTCAGGAGAGAGAGAGAGACAGAGGTGGGAATGTTCCAGCCTATTCTGGACGTTTCTTTGGCAGGTCTATAACTTGACCCAGGAGTTCTTCCAGCATGGAAAACCAGTCAATGCAGAAAGTCAGAACAGCGTGGGGGTGTTCACCCGGGAGAAGGTGCGAAATCGCATCCGGGATGACCCCGACGAGCCAGAGGCCACCAAGCGCCTGAAGCTCGCCATGATCCAGCAGTACCTGAAGGTAGCTGTGGCCTGTGGGAGCTGCCAGCAGGGGAGTGTGTGTGTGTGTGTGTGTGTGTGTGTGTGTGTGTGTGTGTGTGTGTGTGTATTGGGGTGGGGGGTTGGAGGGTGGAGATGGATGCAGGCACCAATGGGAGAGACCCAGTTCTGGGGCATTCTAAGCTGGGTGGGTGGTGGGCAGCGGCGCCCTGAGGTCCCTTGCGGTGACCTGGCCCCTCTCTGGCTCCCCGACAGGTGGAGAGCTGTGAGAGCAGCTCGCACAGCATGGACGAGGTGTCCCTGAGCGCCTTTGGGGAGTGGACGGAGATCCCGGGCGCGCACCACGTCATCCCATCGGGCTTCATGCGGGTGGTGGAGCTGCTGGCCGAGGGCCTCCCAGCGCACGTCATCCAGCTGGGCAAGCCGGTGCGCTGCGTGCACTGGGACCAGGCCTCGGCCCGGCCCCGCGGCCCCGAGATCGAGCCCCGGGGCGACCACAATCACGATGCCCCGGGGGAGGACGGCCCCGGAGGTGGCGGCGGCCACAGTGGTGGTGGCGGTGGAGACGGTGGCCACGGGGCGCTTCCCAGGCGGGGCCGCGACAGCAACAACGACAACAACGACGACGACCAGGAGGACGCGCCGTGGCCCGTGGTGGTCGAGTGCGAGGACTGCGAGGTCATCCCCGCCGACCACGTGATCGTGACCGTGTCCCTGGGCGTGCTCAAGCGGCAGCACGCGAGCTTCTTCCGCCCGGGGCTGCCCGCCGAGAAGGTGGCGGCCATCCACCGCCTGGGCATCGGCACCACGGACAAGATCTTCCTGGAGTTCGAGGAGCCCTTCTGGGGCCCCGAGTGCAACAGCCTGCAGTTCGTGTGGGAGGACGAGGCCGAGAGCCGCACGCTCACCTACCCGCCCGAGCTCTGGTACCGCAAGATCTGCGGCTTCGACGTGCTCTACCCGCCCGAGCGCTACGGCCACGTGCTCAGCGGCTGGATCTGCGGCGAGGAGGCGCTGGTCATGGAGCGCTGCGACGACGAGGCGGTGGCCGAGATCTGCACCGAGATGCTGCGCCAGTTCACGGGTGCGCGGCCGGCCGTGGTGGAGGGGGGGACGGGGGCAGGCGACCACGCCCCCAGCCCCGCATGCTCCCCACCCGCCCCGGCGTGTGTTTGTCTGGGCTGCATCCCACTACCCCCGCGAGGCTCAGGGCGCCGCTCCTGGCTCCGCGCTCAGAGCTCTGGGGTACCCAGGTGGGATGCCGGGGATCCAACTTGCTGTGTACAAGGCAAGCAAGCGCCCTCCCCGCTGTCCTGTGACTCCAACCCCAGGATCATGAAAATCTCTGTGATCACTACCGCACCCTGGACTGCCCAATTCTGACTGCCGGTGTCTTGTTCAAAGACACGCTTTGTCTTTTTTTCTGCTGAATTCTACACACACACACACACACACACACACACACAAATATATGTAGTTTGATTTGGTTTGGGGCCATACCCCGTGGTACTCAGGGCTTACTCCTAGATCTGTGCTCAGGGATCCCACCCGGCAGGCCCAGGGGATCATATGGGGTGCCGGGGATCAAACCTGGGTCCCCCGTGTGTAAAGTAAGTGTCCTATCTCTGCTGTATTGCTCCAGTCTCTATTTTATGTATTTACCCTTTTTTCCAAATTTTTATGCAGGCTCCGTGATCTACAAAGCTGTTAATAATAGAGGTTCAGGCCTACCATGTTTCAACACCCACCGCATGAGTGCTAGCATCCTCCCCTCCCACCATCCCACACTGCAAACTCATATCTATTTATTTGGGGTGGGGGAAATCCTCCCCAGTGGTACTCAGGAGGTTTTGGGACCCCACTGGCGAACCTCCATAAATCCGGCTAGCAGTTTAATGTGAGGGTTCCCACTGGGGTCCTTCAGGGCTGCACCTGGGAATGGGATGTGGTGGGGAGTGGGGGTGCAGTGCAAGCTGGGAGCCACAGGGTGTCTCGGACCACCCCCCCCCCCCCCATTCAGGAAGTGGCTTGGCATGTGACCTGGCTGGCAAACTCAGAATTAAAAATATATGGTTTTAGTTACAGTTTAGGTCATGCATTTACAATACTGTTAATGCTCATGGTTTTGATGCACACAGTCACATTATCTCTCTGCCAGCAAAGTACCCCAGGCCCTTGACCAGTCTGCAGTGTCCCCTCCAGTCAGCCCCCTCCCTCCCCCCCGCACCCACTGCCCCCTTTTATGTCAGTTCTGAAGTGCAGGGCTGAGGGTTTGGCATCGTCTGATACCTTCCATACCCTTGTTCTGTTTCTCTGCTCATGGAGCATTAGTGAGGTCACTGGGTATTGGTCTCCTCCACCTCTGTTGGAGTCTTTCTTTAGTGGGGACGAGGGTTGGGGCCATACCTGGCTCTGTGGTTGGGAGTCACTCCTGGCGGGGCTCAGGGATCAAACCTGGGTCAGCCGCATGCAAGGCCAGTGCTGTGCCCACTGTACTATCTCCCTGGCCCCTGACTATTGGATTTTTTTGGTTGAACATCTTCCATGTCCTGGGGCTGGAGAGATAGCACAGCAGGTAGAGCGTTTGCCTTGCATGCGGCCGACCCGGGTTCGATTCCCAGCATCCCATATGGTCTCCTGAGCACTGCCAGGAGTAACTCCTGAGTGCAGAGCCAGGAGTAACCCCTGTGCATTGCCGGGTGTGACCCAAAAAGCAAAAAAACAAAAACAAAGACCATCTTCCATGTCCTGTCCTGGAAGATCCCCAGAGGCACCCCAGAAGTAGAAAGGGAAAATGGGGCTCACTCTGCAGTATTTTCTAGATCAGAGGGTGAAGGTCTGGAAACATGAGGGATGTTGACAGGGGGTGACAAGGAAGTGTTGTTGGTGTCACTGTTTGAACCCCAACTTCCTCTCTGTCCCCCCACATCCTCCATGCCTATCTGTGATCACCTTGGCCCCAGAATAGGAGAGATTCGGAGGGGCCCTTTTGTGCATAGCCATTCCTTATTCTTCTTCCCCTTCTTTTGACTCCCTAACAGGGAACCCCAACATTCCAAAACCTCGTCGAATCCTGCGCTCGGCCTGGGGCAGCAACCCCTACTTCCGGGGCTCTTACTCATACACGCAGGTGGGCTCCAGTGGGGCCGACGTGGAGAGGCTGGCCAAGCCCCTCCCGTACACGGAGAGCTCCAAGACTGCGGTGAGTGGGGGCGGGGTGCCCTGTGCCGGGGGCGGGGTGGGTGTTTCCTCATTGTGGTCCAGGGTGATGAGGGGGGGGATAATAGCATTCATTTTTTGGGGGCGGGGGCTGGGAGGGAGGTGCCAAGGTGCAACTGCAATGAATGAGAAAACCCCCAAAAATGAACAATATAACAGCTAGAAGGAAAGAGAGCATCCAGCTGAGATGTCTTGAGGTTATAAAAACAGCCATTAGATGCTTTATTGTTCAGGAAGGTAGCCGTGAGCCACGCCTCATTTCAAGGAAAGAGAAGCACCAGCCACATTTCAAGTTCAGTAGCATGTGTCACCCCGGCTGCCAAATTAGAAGTTGTAGTTCTAGAACATTTCCATGTTGTAGCTGGTGATTGGCAGCACGGATTCAAGGTAAGCGTGTCCCTTCCAGTACCCACTGAGGAAGCAACATGGAGACGAGTGGCTTTCCCCAGGTTGTATCAAGACGTGAGCTTGGAGAGAAAAACAATAAATCCGAGAGAAATGATTATCTAGGTTCATTTCCCTGATGTGTGTCTTGATTTTCTCTCACCGAGTGGACACAGAGACAGCACGCGAGTGGGTGTTTGTCAGATAACCGGACCAAGACTTTAAGACAGGTGCAAACACCAGATTCTCTTTTGCAGCCCAGAACTCACTGTTTATCTGAGTTCTGATACAGATAAGAAGGGGCATGATAAAGTGTAGACATAGATGAAATCTATTAAAACCCCAGTGAAATTGTATTTAGAGAAGGTTTTTGATGCAGCGGAGGAACAATCCAGTGAACCAGCATGCCTTGTGTCTGCCCCAGCCGGGTGCAGAAGAGGAAGAAGGCCCTCATTGCTTCCATAGCCTCCCTCCTGAAAATCAAGCCTCTCTTATCCCCTGCCTCAGTTCCAGTGAACAGAACAAAAAGCTTTTTGAAACAGACTTATCTGCCTAGATGAGGTAGAAATTTACTTCTTTCACAAAAAAGGAAATTCAGAGCACAAAGGATATCTCGCAAAGGGTATCAGGGCCCAGCATCATTGCACTTTACTCCTCTTTTCAGTGCCCCTGTGGTCCAGGAGGGTTGCAGGGGCTCCTACCCTCACATCTACATCCTTTAGGATACAAGGAGGAGTGGGGATAGGCAGACCAGCCAAAGAGGAGGATTTGTTTTAGGATGGGCCAGGGATGTGTCTTCATGATAGAAGGCCTGCCTTGCTTGCATGAGACCTGGGTTCAATTCCTGGCACTACTACCCCTAAGGGAAAAAAAAAAGGTTGGAGGATTGGGGATGCCTGGGGGGTGGGCAGGCCTGTCCTTGATGAGATACAGAGCAGCCATGTATTGGAAGCTAATTGGCCAGAACTTAGTCATATGGCCACCCCAGCGGCTGAGAACCTGGGATCTCTGAATTTTTCTGGGTGGCAAGGAACCTAGTTAAGTCAGGTCTTTGTTACCCAGGGGAAAGAGGAGAATGGGTGTAGGAGCAGCTGCTCCCCTGTGCTGCCGTCCACGCTCCAGCTTAACCTCTTCTATGGGCCCCTTGTCAGTGGGTTGAAGCCTCAGAGTCAGAGTGGATGGTCTGGGCACAGTTGCTCAATTGGGCTGGGGGGGTGGTTGTTAGAAACTCTCCCAGCCCACCCCTAGGTGCTGACATCACAGCTGCATCCCACAGGGCCTCTGCTGGAGCCCTGGGTTTGAGGGCACTAGGAGAAAGCCCGCTCCCACTTCAGAAGGCCAGTGCTTCCTCAAGGCTGGGGCCCGCCTGGACAGCCGGCTTCCTCTACCCTGGCAACAGCCACCGAGTCTCCCTTTCCCCCAGCAGGGCTTGGGGACCGTCCCACCCCCTCCCCTCTCCTTCTTCCCCAAACACCCTTTGCCTATTGATTTAGCATTTTCCCCGGAAGCAGCCCTCAGGCCCTGTCGGGGAAGGGGACATCTTGGTGCACCCCAAAACCTCTGACCTCAGGCCTGTTTTCTGGGCACTCGGCACCTTGTTCCAACCCCCATCCCGTCCTGTCTGGCACCATTTGGTAACTGGGTTTCGTGTCTGGCTTCCCCACCAGCATGGAGGCACCTCAAAGCAGCCGCCTGGTCACCTTTTATCTTCCAGCTGCCCAGAACAGTCCCTGGACCCTACTAGGGGCCCCATCCAGGTTTGTTAAATGACTCCCCTGACTTGAGCTCTGAGCGCTGGTGTTTTTCCAGGTTCTGAGTGCTTTCCTCCCCGGTTTTCCTCCTCATTCTCCTGAGAAGCAGGTGGTAAACGTGCCTTGGCTGAGGAGAAAACCAAGACTTTGGGAGGTTCGGTCTTGGAATCTCGGAACCACCGGCCCGAGTTCATGAGAGGAGCAGGGAGGCCCCTGGGAAGCTTCTAGGAAGACGGCAGGGAGGCCAGGAAGTCAGGGACAGGCCTGGCTGGGCATAGGGGCGGGGGGTCTCTGGGGCAGACAGGCGGCCTGAAGGTCGCTCCTGCTCCCCGTCCCCTCACTCCCTGGCCCCTGTCGCCCCCCCAGCCCATGCAGGTGCTGTTCTCCGGGGAGGCCACCCACCGCCAGTACTACTCCACCACCCATGGTGCTCTGCTCTCGGGCCAGCGTGAGGCGGCCCGGCTCATCGAGATGTACCGCGACCTCTTCCAGCAGGGTCCCTGAGGCGGCACCTGCCCCGCATGGCCCTCAAAGAACCACTAACTCGTGATGGCCCTGCCCCTCCCGCGGGGGGCTCCTAACTCCCTGGTCCCCGGTAGGATGGATTTTGACTGCTTAGAACTAGCCACCCCGGCGGAGTCCACGCCTGGCCCTGTAGCGCTTCCCTTTCTTGGCGCCAGGTTGTGACCCCCGTGGGCACTGTTGATTTACCTCCCATGACTGTCCCCTCGCTGCCCCTCCCATCCCCCCCCTTCTCGTCCTTGTAAGTGCCTTCGATACTTTGCATTTTGGGATAATAAAAGAGGCTCGCCCTTCCTGTGCTCCTCAGCTTCTGGCTTTGGTTTTCTGATTTCATCAGCCGTGTGTGCACGTGTGTGGGAGTGTGTGTGAGAGTCCATGCGCCTGGAGACGTGTGTGCGCATATATGTCTGTGGGAGTGTGCGTGTTTACACGCCTGCAGGCGTGAGGGCACATATGTGTGAGGGCATGTGTGTGGGAGTCCACACGCATGCATACGTATGTGTGCACAGACGCATGAGTGCACATGTGTGGGAGTGTGGGAGTTCACATGCGTGTAGACGTGTGTGCACATATGCATGAGTGTGCATATGTATTTCATGGCACTTCCATGAAGGAGGGATGGTGGAGGGAGCTGTGACCTGGCTGTGTACCCCATAAACAAAGGTGCCCACCTTCTCCAGAAGGGGCATCTCTTCACCCCAATCTGTGGCAGGGCTTTGCCTATCTCCAGGGAGGCCCTCCAGGAAGCAGGACGCTTAGCCCCCCAGCCCGCTCCTGGCCAGGCCCAGGTCTGCCCCCTGGACTTGGTCACACTTCTTCCAGTCAGGTGGGATGTCTGGGTTACATGGAATGACGGCGAGTCCCATGGTGTGTTCTTATTTTGTTTGTTAGGGTTTTGGTGGGGGGGGGCACACTTAGCAATGCTCGGCATTTACTCCTGGCTCAGTGCTCAGGGGTAACTCCTGGTGGTGCTTGGGAGACCACCTGGGGTGCCTGTGATTGAGCCAGGATCAGGGCCACGCAAGGACATGTCAAGTCTTTCTTGCTCCCCTCAGGTTGCATTGACTGACTTCTGGAAGGTGGAGAGTTACTTTTTTTTAGGGGGGAAAGGAGTAGGCAGCACTCTGAACATCACCTACTGCTCTAGGAAATGACATCTATTGGCAGGTTGTCTTTCTGTGTTTTGCTGAACACACACCTGCATACCTCTTGCATGCTTTTCTGCACACACACACACACACACACACACACACACACACACACCTTCCCTCACTCATCATGAGCTTCTGTCTTCACTCCTGTGTGGAAAATTGAAAATAGAGTGGATTGAAAATGCTGCCTGGGAGTTGCTGCACCTTGCGCCCGCCGCGCATACAAAGAAAAAGGGTTCTACTGAAGTCACAAAGCTGCCACTCTGTTGACAAGTCCGAGAACATCACTCAGCGCTTAAACAATGGAAGTCATCCATTGTTGCGCTGGGGAGAGAGCTCAGGAAGCTGGTGCTCAGTCTTTGCGGCAGGGGCCTGGCTTCGATCCCTGCCTCTGCATACTCCCCTGAGCACTGCAGAAATAGCTTCCAGGAACCTCCCGAAGAGGTAAAGTCAAATAAAACAACCAAAAAGGAAGGATATAAATGGACCCATTGTAAGTTGGGAGTATCTGTACACACACCTGCATACACTCCACTCCCACACAAATATCAGACACATTCCTATACACAACCACACCTACACAGTTGTATAGAACCACAAAGAATATTTCTTCACTTTCTCATACCAGATTTCTAGTGGTAAAGCTCAATTCTTCATACTAGATGGGGGAGGTTATGGAGAAGGTGAGTACCCCCAGTGTACCAATCTGTTTTTTTTTAATTTTTGTCTTTTTTGGGTCACAGTCAGTGTTTCTCAGTATTTATTCTTGGCTCTATGCTCAGAGATCATTCATGGCAGAATTCGGGGGGGCCTTATGGGGTGCCAGAGATCAAATCCAAATCAGCTGCATACAAAGCAAGTGATCTACCTGCTCCAACTAATCTACTAATCTCTCCAACCCCACGTTCAGGCCTAACCTTGTCTGAGTTCAGATTGGGTACCCTCTTGGAAGTGTAGGGTGTTGACTAAAATATGATTCTGCTGCCTCTCTGCCACTCCAGCTTATGATGGAGATGTCCACCATGTGGACAAGCCAATACATCTGCCTACCCACGCCCATCACATTCATACCCACCGACATACATATATCTCATGGGTGTCTTACTTTGCCCAGGTTGATCCCACTACAGATAAACACCAACATGGTGTTTCTATTGGGGAGGGGGGTGTTATATGAACTGATGCAATTTTTTATTACCTGCCATCAGACGAATGAAGAAGCTTCATTCCAGGAGTGGGATTTTCAATTTCTACCATTTCGGTTGATTTCTTTCCATTACTTTGAACTCTCTTGCCAGTTGTTCTGTTAGATCCTCGTGGATCTATCATCTGCTCTCTCCACAGTTGCCTCTGTGGCTCCCTTGGGTGTTGCTGGAGAAAGATAGAGATCTGCCCCCCAACCCCCACCCTGGTGACTTCCCCCATTGCTCAGAGGAAAGCAAAACTCCACAGCGCCACCTACAGGATCTTGCAGAACTCGGATGTTTGGGGTCTCACCTGGCTTCCTCTTGGCTCAGGAATCACTCCTGGCAGGACTGGGGGTCCGTATGTGGAGGCTAGAACCTGGGTTTGAAGCATGTTGAAGCATGGAGGCAGAACTCTTGACGCGCTCCACCCCACATTGGTGGCACCTACTCTGTTTGAATAAGTGGAGCCACCAAACAGCTCAGAAATAACACCCAAGTTGGATCATTTAGCGGTAGGGCGTTTGCCTTGCGTGCAGCCAGCCCAGCTGAGCTGGGTTCGATTCCTCTGCCCCTCTTGGAGAGCCCGGCAAGCTACCGAGAGTATCTCGCCAGGACGGCAGAGCCTGGCAAGCTACCCGTGACGTATTCAATATGCCAAACACAGTAACAAGTCTCAAAATGAAGACGTTACTGGGC